ACGACTCATGAAATGGGCTATCGAACTCAATCAATACGACCTCCTCTACTGGCCGAAGACTGCTATAAAAGCTCAAGCTTTAGCAGATTTTATTGTAGAGTTTACTCCGACAGCCGAAGAAGAGAAGATGGTCACGAAAAGCAAGGAAAAAGCATATGATACGTCCCTCATCGATTCGAACCTATCTAACGACATGTGGCAATTGCATGTAGACAAAGCATCAAATCACAAAAGAGTGGGGGCAGGCGTCATCATAATCACCCCAAAGGGAACTTTGTTACAGCAAGCTATCACACTAGGCTTTTCTGCTTCAAACAACGAGGCAGAATATGAGGCATTACTTGCAAGATTGCGCCTAGCAAAAGAATTGTCGATCAAGAGATTGACCATCTACTCAGACTCCCAGCTAATCACGAATCAAGCCTTAGGCGAGTATATGGCAAAACATCCAAGAATGGTTCAGTACCTCAACAAAGTCCAAGGACTTTTGAAAGACTTCCCTACTTTCACCATCCAACAAGTTCCACGAGCAGAGAATACTCATGCAGATGTGTTAGCAAGCCTAGGATCAGCACTGGACACCCAGTTCAGACACTCCATCCCTGTTGAACACCTTGACCAGCCAAGCATCAAAGAAATAGAGCCAATCGACTCAATGCGAATCGATGAAGACCCCAGTTGGCAAGACCCCATCATCGACTTCTTAATAAATGGAAATCTGCCAACGGACAAGTTCGAAGCTAGAAAGGTCTAGCAGAAAGCCTCGAGATACTACATGTAGAGCGACAAACTCATTCGCAAGTCATACTCCGGCCCTCACCTCACTTGCATAAAATATCCTTAAACACTTAAGGTCCTTTGCAAAATTCATGATGGCAAGTGTGGAAACCACACTGGGGGCAGGTCATTCACCTAGAAGGCTATAAACGTAAGCAATTTCTGGCCTACTATGCGCCATGGCTCCACTGAATATGTCAAAAGCTGCGATCGCTGCCAACGGTACAAACTAGTTCCTAACCTGCCTACCGAAGTCTACCATTAGCAAAACAATCTGTGGCCTTCATGCAATGAGCCATCGACTTAGTAGGCCCCATGCTAACGGAACATGCCAAGAAAGAAATGATGATCGTCGCCACTGATTACTTTACTAAATGAATCGAGATTGAAGCTCTATCCTCTACTAAAGAAGACGATGTTGAACAATTTATCTGGAGAAACATTATATGTCGGCTTGGCTACCATAATCACTAGTTATCGATAATGGCTCACAATTCATCGGCAAGTAGATCACCACCTTCTTCAAAAAATACACAGTTACCCATAAGCAGCGTCCTAAGGGAGACGCAGGGCAACGAACAAAAGCGTACTTTGGGAGACGCAGCCCGCAAAGAAGCTTCCTAAGGGAGACGCAAAGTGCGCCAGGAATTTCCTAAGTGAGGTACCCAGGTTCCTATCCATTTGCTAAAAGGGGCAAGATAGTCATACATTTGTCCATAAGCAGCGTCCTAAGGGAGACGCATTGCAATGATCAGAAGAGTCCTAAGCGTTCTCCGAAAAATGCAGAATATGCCCGGAGTCCCTTAAGGGGGACCCTGGCTTTTGCCAAAATCCCAAGGAAAATGTACAGCCAAGACACTAGTCAGTTACTCAAGCAGTTCACAAGACAATATGCAAATTAAAGTTTAAAAAATAAAGACTGAAATTTTCATAGCAAAGCAAGTTCAAACAAAAAGAAGATGGTCAAACATGACCAATTATTCTAAACAAAAAGCATACTACAAAAGCAGAAAAGAAATAGAAGAGACTTCGTCTACTCTGAAACGCCAGCATGAGAACCTTGATTTGCAGCCTTTTCAGCGTCCACCTGATTAGCCACGCTCTCAGCAGCTCCACATGCCTGATTTATGACGTCTACCACCACCTCATCAGCTGCATCATCCTCTGCTCCATCCTCTTCAGCTACTGCCTCTTCAGCCACCTGCTCTTCAGCTCCTTCGGTGTTGAAGCAGATAAAATGTTGCTTCCCTTTGTTTTTCCAAGGAAATACTTGAAAAAGTAACAAGATCGTGAGCTTGCTAGATTTGATCAACCAGCTCAGCACAAGCAGATGGACTTGTTAGAAAGAGCGTCGTGAGTAGATCAGACATGCAGGGCTGGACTTATCCACCTTTGGATGAGCCGTTGACGTTGCAGAAGAACCTTTCACCCATACAGATGACTCTCTTGCTTTCCTAGTCTCTGCTAGGGGTGGTTGCGGTTCGGTAACCGCAAATTTTTGTCCAAATTGCAAACCGACCGACTATTTGAGGTATGGTGATTTTTGAAAACAAAAACGGTCGGTTACGGTGAATTAGCGGTTTAAAAACGCAAGTTCTTTCGTGTCATAAAAATCCAATATCCTCATTTTAGGCCTAATTTGATGCTTCTTTTGAAGCCTTTTGATTTCAAGCATACTTTAACCCAAAAATAAAATCACAACTAAATAAATTCACACCCAACTTCTCAAGCATATAAATTCACAACTCTTCAACTTCTCAAGCATTCACAACCTAAAGAAAATTAAAGTTACAATTCAAGCATTCCAATTAAAGTTAAACTTCTCAAGCATTCACAACCTCAACTTCTCAAGCATTCCAATTCCAAATCCTTTAAAGTTACAAACCAAAAGGAAAATGCAATGCAAAATGAATTAAAGTTACAACCCAAAGGAAAAATCCAATTCAAAGTTAATTAAAGTTACAAACTAAAAGGAAAATGCAATGCACCAATGTTACAAATTAAAGTTACAAACTCAAGTGTTGGTGGTGGTGAGTGGATTTGAAGGACCCCGTTGTGTTGTTTGAGCACCAATGCTATCTACAAAATGCAATTTTTTTTTAAATATAGTCGCGATTTGCGGTAACCGCAAGTTTTGAAAATCAAATACCGTAACCTCAACCGCAAATGCGGTTCGGTTCTTATACCGCAAATGCAGTTCGGTTTCCCGCAATTGCGGTTCCATTGCGTTAAATTGTCGGTTGGTTTTTGCGGTTTTTCAATTTTTGGGTCTAAAATGCCACCCCTAGCCTCTGCCAACCTCGCTTCCAAAGGAATTGGCGACGACGAATCAACCCCACACTTGACTGCTTGTGACTCAATAGATGGATCGTGATGGTTGGATGGATGATCAGACCTCCCACATCGACATCCACTCTTCGACTTGTGCAAACAACTCGAACTTCGGAGAGGAGCATCCGCATCTCTTTGCCTCTCAACAAGTGAGCTAGACCGCGCACAGACTACTTTACGGAGCATATCACAATCTCCAAAGTCATCCGGCTTGAGTACTCGAAGACTTGACATCAACCTTCCTCTTTTAGGGGAGTTCAGCAGAACACTCCTCCTGTCCAGCAAGCAGATCATCAGGATCCAAACCATTCTGCTTTCATCTCTCGACATCCTCGGCAGGGGGCAGACCATCGTCTTCCTCCTGATACTCTCTCAACAGTAACCAACGGCCATCGCCGCTCCAACCTTCTTCGACCGCCAGTCACGACGTCAACCAGTGTGGTCCCACCCAGCTGGTCCTTGCCTCGAAAAAGAGAAGACGAAGAAAAATATACGTGCTCGACTTACCTTGGGATGCACGACAACTCCTCTCTTCAATAAGCAATACAAATTCTCCAAGATCTTTCTCAAGCTAGAAAGTAGAGAAGTTAAATTTGCGATGTGAGAAAGAGTGAAGAAAAGCCTTGTATTTATACAAGTTGGACAACCCGGGTCGAGAAGGAATGCAAGCTCATTCCTACTGGGAATCCAACTCCAACAACAGTCAGAAGCCTACACCAATTGGGAATCTGATTTGCAAAAAGAGTCCAACTCACAGAATAAAGCCCATACACAGTTGGAGAGCCCAAAAAAAATCATCTCCTACATGCCACACAAGCGCCATGTAGAAGCTGGGGGGGCATTTGTGGGAGCAAATATTTTCGTCTCTAATCACGGCACGCCACGTGAAAAAGAAGATTATCTCTTAAATTAATAATTGAACTAGTTTATCTAGCCAATTAATTAATAGGGATAAATATTTGAATTAATAGGATATTATCTCTATTTAATAAGATAATATCATTAATTCAGATATTATCCTAATAAAGAGAAGATAATATCATTAATTTAGATATTATCCTAATAAAGAGAAGATAATATCATTAAATTATATATTATCTTCAAGTCCGTCTCGATCCCTACGAATTTGGGTAAAGAATAAACTCATCATATTCTCTACGAAACCCTAGCCCCGAGGCTCCAATAAATAGAAGACTTCATTCATCATTCAAGGTACATCTACACCTACTCCTAAACCCCGAGAAAAATACATGAAGCTCTCTCTCCCTCTCCACTTTCCATATTTTCTCCACACGGCTCCGGCCCCCACACACGGCTCTAGCTGCCCAGTCCACACCATACATACAACTCCATAACCTTTGCTTAGCTACTTTTTTCCTACAAACACTCGAACTAACTTAGGCATCGGAGGGCTTTTGGCCAACACCCCCTGGGTGTGGTCTATTTACTCCGGTCTTTTTTACAGGAATCGAGGAAAAAAGAGAAGGAAGATCGAAGGTTGAAGGATCTAGAAGCGAATATTCTCTCGCGAGATTATTCGCACAAACATATTTGAACAAGAAATTGAATTGCATTCGATGCACACAAGTAATTGTAATTCCTCGTAAATTTATTGAAAAACTTGTCTTTTGTACAAAGTCATTCTCACTAAGCATTAACTAAGAAAAGCATAATTTAGTATATGGCACAAATGGATTTTTCTTTAATTAAATTGAATTTTAATCGAACTTAGTATATGGTAATCGAACTTTCTCGTAGATTTATTGACACATTGTGTATACACAGATATTCTCACTAGGCATCAAGCTGAGCCTCATAAATATGAATTTCAACAATTGGCTCTTATATATATGTTGCATCCTTTAAGTTGGATGAGCTGCACAGTACAGTATTTAGGCTTTGGAAGGCAATGGGACCCACTCGCGGTACTCTGCAAGAGCCCACAGAGGGTAAATATTTCTGTAAGCTGCATAATGTAGCATGCAGTTCTTCATGAACACTCCTGTGATTTCCTGCAAGAGCCCACAGAGGGTAAATATTTCTGTAAGCTGCATAATGTAGCATGCAGTTCAGTGATTAATAGTTAGAAAAAAGATACAAGTAAAAATTAAAATTGCAATGCAAGTAATGTTGTGCTAAGAAAGATACCTGTTGGGGAAAATCTCCATTTTCCATTTGAGAATTGATAATCAACTTTGCTGCACGATGAAGAGGTGCAGGATCTCTTTCTGCCTGTCCAGCTTGAATAAGACCCATCATAGCCCATGCAGTGTGTACTAAATTCGATCGGTTTTCTTCGAGAGGAACGTACTCCTGTATCAACAGCCAAGAGAGAAATATTTTCATGTAAGACAATGGGATGGTTTAAGAAATTTGAAGCTTGCTTAAAACGCAAGCCACCTCCAACATCTTACCTTTTTTGGACAAGAAAGATAGCTCTCTCCCCAGCCACCGTTCTCTCTTTGTGTCGTAAGTAGAAAGTTAACGCCTTTGCGCACGGTCAAACAATTATTGAAAGTCTTTCCGGCAGCTGCTAACCCTCCAAGGGCAAACCAGCTACCATATGTAAAGCAAACTCCCCAATTTCCATACCATGAACCATCTGGCATTTGTATGTTTTCAAGGTACTCTGTAGCATTGGTAATGAAATTATCAATCTCTTTTTTCCTGTGCCCAGGATACAACTTCTTAAACAGAACTAAAGACTGAATTGCAGATGAAGTGCATTCAACATATTCGTGCTCGACCACAATGTCCGCGAAGAATTCCGTGGGATTTAACATCTGAGGGAAATAAAAAAGAGGAAAATATCAAGTAAGTATCTGCTAATGATTATTTCAAGAGCATTAATTTCTGTTCATCTGACAGATTTGCACAAGAACATGGCTCCAATTTGTTAGAAGTCTTACTTCTAACCACTCTGCTGCTCCTGCTGGTTCCCAGGCTGCTAAACCACCATTCTTACTCTGCAATGATACGAAAAATGGTGCTTAGTTAATGAGTACTGGGTTGAAGTGCTAAAAGTTAATTAAATTCTTCAAACTAAAGCAACAATTAGGAGTGGCAACTCTAGGGTGAAAGAATCATGTGAAACAAATATAGATATTGCTGCAGGGAAAGCACAAGCTTTCAAATTCATATCTATGACTAGGGGGTGCAGGATAAGAATACTTTAGACACAATCCTTTCTGCCGGCAAGTTCTCACCTGTAGGGAAAGTAGGACATTGACAGAATCGTATAACCTCTGAGGTTCCATTTTTTCACCAACTATATCTGGTCGCATTGTCGATAACAGCAGGCAACACTGCAGTGTGGGAGATTGTGAGAAACATGGAGATAAACAGACAGGGTAGATAAGTCAAATTGAAGCATTTGAGAAAATTTAGTTACCTTTAAACCCTCTGCGGTGCAATCAGAAACTTGCCATCCATGGTCTTGATCTGAGAAAGTCCATGATCCTTTAGAAATGTGGCGGTGCATGCTTTTGAAGTCACCAGATGGATTGTCCTTGACCTGTACAGTTTGAGCGCAAAGGATTCATTAGTCTGAGCAAATTAATGGACACACATTTATAGGTAAACTATAGTTAAAATTGAACCTGAGATTTCTTTATGAAGTCATGTCCTCTAGCAAGCGTAGGTCCAATTTCATCAGTGAGATTGCTAGCAAGCAAAGCTTGAATGGCAAAACCAGTATCCCACTGCTGACTTCCAAAACTCTGCATATATCAATCAAACAATAAATCTGTAAACTTCTAAGGTTTTTCGTCTTCTTTTAGGTGAGTTACACTTTGAATTAATGACCAAAGGAGCAAACCTCTGCCTTAAAATCATATGCATAAATTTTACAACAGCATAAATAATCTGGGATGCTATGCGTACTAACCTGCATCTTCATCCCATCTTCAGCAACCCATAAATAATCTGGGATCCTAGCAAGATGCTTCTTAAAATAGTCTCCATTTGGATCTTCAGCCCAACAAGCAAGCATACATAACACCTGTTCAAGTAATGCAAATAACATGATGAGAATCTGAAAAGATAATATTTTTCTCCACAGTCCTACAAGGTATATCAGTATCCTTATCCACATTACCTTTTCCACACATCCAATGGTAATATATCTGCTGTTTTCATCTTCATAATGAATGTGCTTCATTGTTACTTGAAGAGCTTTTTCTCTGACCAATTTGTTAAACGGCCAGCGAGTAAGAAGAGGCTCTGTACATATGTAGAGACTATCCCACATGATGTCCTGTATCCAAGGGTGTGGGTAGTAGATATCCTCCTGCAATTAAATACCTGGAATCAGGTTCTGTACTTAAACAAGAAACATAAACTGATTAACTAATTTAATTAAGTTAAACTCACTTTCGCGCAAAGATGGCGCACTCCCTTCCAATTAATTTCATCATAAGGTTGAGCATACAGTTCTTCCCTCAATTGCAGAATGAGAGGCGTGATTGGGCCAACAAATCTCTTCCCATATAAATATGACATAGGCATGTAAACCATCCTACAATAGCACCACATTTTTGCTGCGTTTTCAAGATAAAAGATGTTAAAAATGAAAACTTCTAACTAAATCATAAGGACACTCCTTGAGTTTGCAGAGTTCTTCAATCTGCAGGTGTGCTAACCTGGATGCATAGGAAGAAATGAAGGCAGCATCCAAAACTCTGGCGGCATTGGGTTGCTTCCGGACCACTCAAACACGCCAAGTATCTACAACAAAAGCAACATACTCATATTAATTGAAGCCTAATAAATGCGCAACTAGTACTCATATTTTTTGCATTCAACAAGGCCGTACGTACCGACAGCCAAGTCTTTCCCCAAGAGGGCATGTGTGTGACACTACCATGATCAAGAATCCATTTCCTTGCTCTGGCACAAGCATTGTGCTGGCCCCCATCAGGTCCTTCTCCGAGAATACGCATACAAATGTAGCTCAGGGCTGTGCAGAACATGGTGCTGTGGCCTTCAATATGTAATCCCCAACCACCATCTTGATTCTGAAAGTACATTACCATTCTTTATATACTAGCATAACACAAAATATGCACAAGGAGTGGAAATTGAATTTAAAATTTGATCCCATTTGTGTGAACAATTATACCAAATGAATATGTACCTGATGATAGTATATGTAACGCAGAATTTCTTTGCGATGCTCTGCTGGGAATACAGTATTAAGATGCCCTGTAATGTATGTACACACATGAAAAAAAAAAAAAAAAAAAAAAAAAATAAAAAGGGAAATTAGTAAAAAGCTCCAAAACATTCAAATATTAGTCAAAAATCTAACCAATGCTCTAAAAATAACTGTAATTATAAGGAAATTAGAAATTATATACTCACCAAAGGAGGAAGGAAAAACAATGGGCCAGCATTTTCAGCAGGCCAATGGCCATCACTTGCCTGCAAGGCTGAAAAGAAGTGAACAGATCTTCTCAGTGAGGCTGTTGCCTTTTCATATGTGATTTTCTCGCCGTCCTCAACCTTTACTGGGGGAATTGTCTGCTTGAAGTTCTTCTCTTTTAGGAACTGCAGTTTAGTGAACAGAGGATTATGATTGGTATTAGAGAAAAAGTAAGTTAATTCATGATGCTGATTATAGAACAAACTTATGGGGTGCTAAAAAGAAGAAAAGGAATTCAAAAGTTGACTAGGTTCAAAGCTAACTATCTGTCTAGTTGAATTTTTATTTATTTATTTATTTATTTTTGGTAAGATATGATATCGAGTTTGAAACCCCTTAGATTCTTATAATAATAAAAACCAAGACAAACCTATCATATTTTATACCCACACACACTCATGTTCTCTTGCTAAACTCAAATTTACAGTTTGAGGACATAAGTTTAATAAGAGAATATTACCGAGTAGTAATGAAATTAAATGGATAAATACCTGCATACGCCATAGGAGGTCACCGCTAGGCTTGACCTGATAGCGATTATTGTAAAAATTAAGACGAGCTTCTTCCACCTCAGCTCGCTCTTCGGGGGTTCCTGCCTCAGGATCAAACTCAAATATCTGCCTCCCCACAAAGTCGTTTGTGCTGTAGATGTAAGGGTCATTCCCTCCATCTGCAACCTTAAGCTTCCACATTCTTCAATATCTCTTATTAATTATATATCAAGGTATATATATCTTCTCAGTAAGAACCTGTTTCATGCACATGCAATGTATAAGTAACACACCATAAATATGTGCTAAGTAGCTATAGGTATTCTAAGCTATATAGTGCATGTTCAAGAAAATCTTATACATAGTGCAGATTAATCATAGGATCCCCTAGCTTTCCATATTTTGTAAATGTCTCAATTGTTGTATATATAGTGTGTATGGATATTAGAGAGAGAGAGAGAGAGAGAGAGAGACCCCGTACGTGCAGTTTGCAGTTTGCAAAGAAGAAGCTGCAGAAACCTTATTGTAGAGTTTGGTTATATAGCTAAGAATGAAAGAGAAGTGGGGTTGGCCAGATAGCTAGCTCAGATATATTTGTGTGTGTGTATTGTATATGTATGGTTAATACGCGCAGAGAGAGAGAGAGAGAGAGAGAGAGAAACCCCGCAAGTGCAGTTTGCAGAGAAGATTGTAGAGAATTTGGTTGTAGCGAGATGAAATGGAGGAGAACTTTATAGACAAATAACAATAGAGACAATATGAGGTAAATATAGGCACTAAAGATACTGTTTTGGTTTTAACATAAAAATACCGTTTTGCCCCTACATTTAACAAAAAAAGTTATCAAAATTGACGACATGACCATTTGTCCTAACGAAAGTGAAGTTAAAGAACCACATAAACTATTTTGGAAATTGAGGTACTCAAATGCAAATTAGGGTTAAGTTCATGAACTAACAAAACGATTAACTCAATATAAAATGAACACTGCACAGACACTGCCAAAAACTGCATTTTACACATCGTCGCCATTTGGGGCCATTGACCCCTAATAAGGACAGACCCGGTGTGGCCTAAAAGTGCAGGGTCTGGGGACATGAAAGCTGAATTTATTTTTTTAATAAATGCTTTGAATTTCTCCTTTTAATAAACATTTTGAATTTCTCCTTGTCATGGGTTCTGGGGGGATAGAGAGTAGAGTCCATTTCCTACAAACCAATTCACTTTGGATTTTCCAATCTTGCGTGTCTCCATCTCCATGTGTTTGTGTAAATTTTTGCAAGCTGAAGCCGCCGCACGTACCTATGCATGATGTGGTCAACTAATATAAAAAGGAAATTTTACTATTATACTCAATATATAAATCCAAATTATAAAATAAAATAAAAATTATGTACGAAATGGATTTTAGAAACACACTCAAATTCAATTTACAACATCACAATGAGGCCTTGAACTTCCTATAAATTACAAAACTGTCATTGATTTCTTAAAATAAGCACAACCTCAAAGCCTCATAATAAACCCAAAACACTCAATAAATTACTTTGATGCCCTATTAAGTGTTTTGAGTTTTTTTATGAGGTTTTGGAGTTGGGCTTGTTTTAAGAAATCGATGGCAATTTTATAATTTATAAGAAGTTAAAAGTTTCTTTATTATGTTGTAAATGGGCTTTGAATGTGTTTCTAAATTCCATTTCATATAAAGTTTTTTTTATAAAAAATTAAAAAAATTAAAAAAAAATTGAGCCCCTATATTGGGTATAATAGTGAATCTCCTTAAATTCAATAGGGCTAGCTGTCATTTTTGAATTTTTTTTTACGAAAATTAAATGATGTAGAGTTTATTTATATCACTAGTGCTAAAAATGAATATATAACTAAATATCACATATAAGAATCAAGAAAACTAACAAAAATAATTGCCTACATAATTTCAAACGTTGCACGACTAGATCACAGTGGGAAAGAAAAGCTAGCCCAAATGGGAAGCCTTAGAAAAAAGTGTACCAAAACAATTAATATGACAACTATGTTTAACTATTTTTTGTGCATTATTTAGTGCCAGTTTGGCATTGCTTATTTGGGTTGATAAGTGATTTTTTAAAAAATTTGGGAAGCACAGCCCGTTTGGTAAACTATGAGAAAATCACTTATTATTAAAAATTGTTGTGAGAGAAAGCTATAAGGGAAAGTAGCTAATAAGGTGCTTCCATTTTCTGATTATACAGGAATCAGTTTCAAATAGTCACTGGGTTTAATGATTATGTGGCAATCATTTTCTGTTCATGTGGGAATTAGTACCAACAACCAGTGGCGGACATGTGCAGGCGCAAGGAGGTACACCTGCACCTCCGGTCACCGGAAAAGTCCATTAGAGCAGCTGCAGTTGCACCTCTGCTTCAGACAAGAGATGCATGCAATGTGTTCGACGAAATGCCCAAACCACCTGGGCTGGACGCTGTATCTGCTGCACGCTCGCTTGTTTTTTTTTAACATCCCTGGCGAAAACGATGTCGTTTTGGACTAGAGTTTAAAAAATAAAATAAATAATAAATAAAAAAAGACACTGCTGCTGCTGCTGGGCCATTCTATTGAGCTTTCGAATTGGTATTATTCTTTACTTAATTGGGTTTTAAGTGGGAGTTATCTTTATTCAATTAGGTTTTGGGAATTCCTTATTTAATTGGGATTGGAATTCTCTTTATAAATGACCAATTTAACATTACCCAATTTCATCAAAGTGTGTGTGCATCACAAAAATCATACGTTTTTTTTTCTTCTTTTTGAGTACGCCAATCCAAAGTAAGTAGAATGCTTTTTTTTTGCTTGAGCAAACGCCAATTTTATTTTTTCTTTATTTTTTATTTTTTTAATAATTTTTTTTTCTTATCTAGCTCTCTCTGATTAGTAAGATCAGTAGCAAACTCAAGGAGGGAGAGGCTACTTGACACGCTATTCGAGGTATGACACGCTATTCGAGGTATAATTCATTTTTATTTATTTATTTATTTGATAATTTGATATTGATTTGTTTATTTAATTGATAAATTATAATCAATTAGTCATACGTATAGATATAAAACCCTTATTTTGTTTTAATTGTACAGTTATGGAACGATACTTTAAGAGAAAGAATTTATTATGAATAACATTAGTATTGTTTAAATTATAAGGATGTTTAGTTGTCTTTTTTTTTCTTTTTCTTTTTTGAGCTCTTGGCTTTTGAAAATTGCACCTCTGGTAGAAAATTCCTGGGTCCGCTGCTGCCAACAACACTTTTAACAAAAAGTTTACCAAACGTCAAACTGCTTTATCTCACAGCTGATTTCTCTCATAGCAAATCTGACAGCGATTATTTTCACAGCACAGCAATGTCAAACTAGCTCTTAGTTTATGTATTGTTTGGCCTCAAATTTTTAGTAATTCTTTTTTATAAAAAGTAGCGATATATTATATTTATAATTCAAGCTTAAAGGAAAAATAGGAGCAATTAATATGACAAGTACGTTTAACAATTTTTGGTGCATTATTTAGTTCATTTATTGTCTGGCCTCAAATTATTAGTAATTCTTTTTTATAAAAAGAAGCGATAAATTATATTTATAATTCACGCTTAAAGGAAAACTAGGAGCAATTAAGTCAATGTGGACGTGCACAAATATTAGCCAAAGAAAAAACAAGTCTTACCACTCAATGTTCCTACCCACCAAAGTCCAAGTCAGTGAGCCGACATGTCAATGTTAATTAATTCCAGAAGAATCGTTCAAGTTTCCAACAGGTAACCACCGCAGTTTAATCAAGGGCAAAAATTAACGGTGGGGTTTGTCTTATTGGTAGGTACAGCTGCTGGCTTTATCTTGGTATGGGACCATTTGGTACTGCTCCATGGATAGCCTCCCCTGATTTAATCAAATTTTGCGGTCACATTAATTGTTGTACTACTACAAAAAATGAAATAGACGACAGTGATCGTTGTTGTGATGATTTGAAAATCGTCGTTAAATCGACCACCATCTTTTGGAGTATCAAACTACGACGGCTTTTCACCGTCGTTGTTTATTTGTAAAGACAACAGTTTTTAGTAAAACCGTCATTATTCTGATGTAAAGATGACAGTCTTTTGTTAAAAACCGTCGTTGTTTATGGGTAAAACCGATGGTTTATAAATAACCGTCGTTATTTATGAGTAAAAACGACGGTATTTGTTAAAACCGTCGTCATTTATGGATAAAGACGTCGGTTTTATAAAAAGCGACGTTGATTGTATATAAAGACGACGGTATTGTGTTAAAAACGGTCATTGATTATATGTAAAGATGACGGGATTTACATTAAAACCGTCGTTTAAGAAGTTCCCATTATGTATGAAATCGCCGTTGATTAGCTCTGAAGACGACGGTTGTATTGTAAATCCGTCATTGATTATATGTACAGATGACGGGATTTACATTAAAACCATCGTCTAAGAAGTTCCCATTATGTTTGAATGTAAATTAATGTCTAAGGGTAAATTATTCAAATGGTCCTCAAATTTGTACTCGATTTACATTTTGGTCCCTCAATTAAATTATTCGTTCAGATTGTCCATTAACTATACATTAATCGCTCCATTGGTCCTACCGTCTAATTTTCTGTTAAATGTAACCAAATTTTAGGGGTAAATACGACTTTTCATAATTAACAAATAAAATAAGGTTAAAATAAATACAAAATTAGAAAATAATTGAAGAAAAAGATTAAAAAAAAGGGAGTTTCACTAAAACACCCAAAATGGGGGCTGAAATTATAAAAAAAACCCAACACCCAAAACACTTTATAAACACACCCAAAACCCATCGTTACACACACTTAAAACACATTTATAAACACACCCAAAAATATACAATTGTTGATTTTGGGGTTGATTTTGGGTGTGTTTCTATGTTTAAATAGTGCTTGGGTTTTTTTATAAATACATGTCTAGGATTGGGTTTATTTATAAATTCATGAGACCCAAACCCCCTCCCTTCGATTTCTTCTCCCCCATTCCCTACAGACCTCTCCAATTACTTCGTTTGGAAAAGATGGTTTGTCAATGACCTCAACCATCCAGCCCAACAATAAATGTCCAAAATAATACTAACGAAGGTCTAATCTTTGATAACAGTTGGTTGTTTTGTTTCATTTTCCAAGGTGGGGTTTTGATCATTTCTTGGTGCAATAACTTGGTTTGTGTGAAAAGCTGAAGTGATATGTCTACTTGTTGCTGCTGCTGAGGAGCGAGGACCCAAAGGAGGATGGAGAAGGTTGCTGAAGAGACGCAAAGGAAGAGGAAAGCTCATGAGGAGGTGGGCAATGGCGAAAATGGTGGGAGTGTTGGCCTTGGTATTGATGGCATAAATCCTCAAAACCCTCGCAGCAATTTCGACGTCTTCGCCAAGAACTGGTACTTGTACTTGGAGGGTGAGAAATTGACAGTGGTTGTGATTTTGGGAGGTGGGGTTGGCGGGTGATGAGGTGAGGAGGAGGGTGGTGGGTGGTGGGTGGTTGTCTCTCAACAACGAAGGGAAATCAAATAGGAGGGAGAGAGGGTCTGGGTGGTTGTTGAGTTGGGGTTCTGGGTTAGTTGGGAGGGGGTTTGTGGAAGATTTTGTTCTTTTTTTTTCTGTAGTTGCTGGCTTGGGTGGAGGATGGGGAGGAGTTGGGGTTTTGGGTTCATGGGGCCTAGGATGGAGGGTGGTTGTTGGATGGGTTTGGGTGGAGAGTAGTTGTGGGATGGGTTTTGGGGTTGGAGCTTGAGGGTGGTGGCCATGAGAGAGAGAGAGAGAGAGAGAGAGGAGAGAGAGAGAGAGAGAGAGAGTTTTTATCTATTTTTTACGTACGAAATGACCAATTTGCCCTCCTATTTAACAACAACATTGACATAATGTAACAATAGAACCAATGAAGCAATTAATGTATAATTAATGAACCATTTGAACGAATAATTTAATTGAGGGACCAAAATATAAATCGAGTACAAATTTAAGGACCATTTGAGTAATTTACCCTAATGCCTAAAAATCTGCCGTTGATTAGCTATGTATTCCTATTACAGATTACTTCTATATTCAACATCCTCATCTGATTAGGATTAGTAATCCTATGTTCAATTCATTCTCATCCGATTACAAATAGCAAACATACACTTTAAGATTCAATATTATTACATATGGTTAATCAATCTTTATTCCTATCACATACATACTTCCTAAATAATGGAGTATACTAAATTACATGGTTCCTAAAATCAACCTTTTCTCTTTCCCTTCTAGTTCTGTACTCAACATATAGCAGACTGATGAGATAAGCAGTCCAGCTTCCCATCAACCCATAAAAAAGCTGAAATAGAATCTCATATAGCAAACCAAGTTGGGAAAATGAATACGGCAGTGTGAGCAGGACTTGAGCAACCTGCATTAAAAATTCCATTAAAACCAAATTAAGATATATAAACATAATTAACTACACACATTAAATACACAGTTACATTAACACAAATGCCCACATTTAAGAACTAAAATGTGCAAATTTGAAAAATCAACTACTAAAATGTGTAAAAAGTACCCTCATATCTGGTCAGTTGATGTACTTTTTGCAAGTTGCAAGTCACAAAAAGGATAAAATTTCAACTCTACTGGGACAAACAACATTAGCAGAAATTCTTTCCTAGCAATTACTCTTTCTATTTGGTTGATGAGAAATGTATTGGAAAATGATTTATCAATTCAAGGACCCAAGAAACTAGACCTAGCAATATTGCACACGACCCGTTAACACGACACGAATTCGCACGAAATTATCAGTATTTGGGTTGAGCTTAATGGGTTGGGTTGAAAACGGGTGAACCCGTTAGCTACCCGTTAAGCTAATGGGTTGGGTTGGGTCAATTCGCGAATATTCGCATCCACCCGTTAAGGAGGGTAATTTGGTAGTTTTGCAAAATATTTTTTCTTTTCTTTTCTTCTTCCCCTTTTCCTCTTTAGTTTCCTACTTTCCGTGTCTGTTTCTTCTTTCTTTTTTGTCTTTTTCCTCTTTCCCCTTTTCCTTTTCTTCTTCCTCCCGTTCTTCTCTTCTTCTCTTCTTCTTTGCTTCTCTGCTTCTTTGCTCTTTTTTGGTCAAGATTCTCTTATGCTCTTCTCTCCACTCAATAGAATCCGGCAGCCCATCCATCACGGATCAAGAAGGAGGTTGTTGGTTTTGGTTCTCTCAGTCAATTTTGAATTTTCTTTCTTCCTCAGTTTATGTAGTTGTTGAGTTTTTAATATATGTGTGGGAGAGATATACTATTTTGGGGTGAGAAGACTGAAATAAAGAGGGAAAGAGGGAAGAAAAATTAGGGTTGGGGTTTGGGGGAAAAAAGACAGAGAAGGTGTGTCGGGTAGAGAGAGTTTTTTTGTTTGTTTTTTTTTTTTTTTTTTTTTTTTTTTTTTTTTTTTTCGTGTCGGATATTCGCGAATTGTAACGGGTCGTGTTTGGGTCTAGTATTTGTCACCCGTTAACTTAACGGGTCGTGTCGTGTTAACCCGTTAACTTAATGGGTTGACACGAACACGACCCGAAACCCGTTAATACGACCCGTTTGCCAAGTCTACAAGAAACCAAACCCGCAACTATATTGAAAACTAATACTACCGTCAGCTTAGTTGTTATAGTGTTATCCATTTCTTGTGATCCAACAAAGTAAGAATCTCACTTCTCTTTGTTTTTTTTTACTCAGCAAACAAACCAACAAAATTAAGACGGTAATGAAGAATTTGAATGTACAGTTGAAGCTGAAATTTATGTGCAAAGATCGAACATTTTCAAGCAGAGAGAAAGGAACAATGCAAAACAAGTGAGTATTAAAGAACAATTCAAGAAAGGAAAAATGCAAAACAAGAACAAGAATAACATAACTCACGAAAATATAGTCAAGTCTTCCTATCAAGTCTGCACAAAACCACATGAAAGGAGATAAAGTAAGGATGACTTAATTTATCTGGGGGTCTCTAAGGGAAAAACACGAGACCCATTTTGTATGATTTTCATAACTCACAGAAAACAACAAATAGCAAAGAGGTTCGAGCATGAAAGCAAAGGTTGCAGGACAACTGACCTCTTAGTGCAAGCTGCAAGCAAAGATGAAATTTCCAACTTTGGAAATAAACACAAGGCCACAGCATAGGGCAACGACTCAATATGCCAAACAACGAAGAAGGGCACTTTGCAAGTTTGCAAGCAAACTTGTCAGTTTTCAAATTCATAAGACAAAGCAGCATGCCAAAGCATTAAAGCTACCTGATTAAAAACAAAAATAAAAGAAGGAAGAAGGATATACCATAAGCACATGAGTAGCCAAGTCAAAATAGATGCAAAGCCTTCAACCTTCTGCCAGCGACTCTTCCTTATGACAAACCAAAATTTGGTCTTTAGACCCAAAGTGAAGATGGTTTTAATTCCTCAGTGAGGATGGGTAAAATCCAAATTTGTGGCTGTTGTATTTTTTATGCACATCAATGAGTTTCAAGATTAAAAAGAAAAGAAAAGAAAGTTCAACTATGAACTCAGTACTGCCAAACTCAAAGAAATACAAATAACTCTTTGGTTTGTACCTGATGAGTTAGACAAAGAAGTCTCCACGAATATGAGACCCACTGCTTCAAATCAATTTCTTGAAAAGGGATAAATGTCAAAATCAAGCTCTGCAAATTGGAAGGCAATTGTTCTGCCTTGTCACAAATTGTGAAGAGGGTGAAAAAGAAAATTCCAAGAATAAAAGAAAAGAGTGAAACATACACATAGCTTACCCCAAAGTCTGCCGCTGTCTGCACAAGTGAGGTTTAGAAGGAGTAAAAGCTTGATTCCCGGGCCACCAATGTACTTGGGCAACAGAACCATGGACAAGGAAGAGCTGAGAACAAAGTCTCTTATGTTTATGTATAGGATCTTCCATTTACGAACAGAACATATATTTCAAACAAGTCCCAAGACATCAAGAATAAGAAAATCAAATTCTCACAAGCAAGCATATAGAAGTTATAAGTTTTAGCAAAAACAAAGTTCAATAAAGTGAGGGAGATTTGGAGAAATTTACTCTCAATAACAGCAAAAGCTTTGGACTCATCAGGCTTAGCCTTGTATTGGGGGGAGCAGGGGATGGTGGAATTTCATATTTGTCTGGCTTCTCTTCCTCAGCCGAAGCCGAGGCATGTCGACGATCCAACTAGATCTGATACTAATCGCATAGGACACGAATTATTAAACCAAAAATCAGACATCAAAAACCCTACCCTCCCAAAATTAATTGATAAAAACTAGTCCAACTTGACGAACCCTAAATTGATACATACAATGAAAGCAAAATTAGAGAGAAGAAGAAGAGGAAGAGATTGTGACCTCCTATGCCGGCGAGCTCGGTGTCGACGGCATCCAAGGGGCTCAAGTGGCCTAGAACGTTAAATCGCAAACTCCGACTCTTATGCCAGCGAGCTTGGTGATGATGGCAGTGAACATTATAGAGATAAGTGCTTCAGAGGTGAGAGGGAATGTTTAAAAAGGTTGAGGGAGATCCAGAGAGTTGTTGAGGGTTTCAAAAAGAGGGAGATATTTTTTCGAGCGATGGGAGAAATCTGAAATTTTAAGATCGTGAATTCACTTCAGTGCCTCTTTTCGTTTAGCACATTTTGAAAGACGGCGCTTGTTAATTGACAAACGTCGTGTTTTTAAAATCAAACCCATTTTAGCAGCGTGTAAGATAATATACAATGACAGTTTTATAAAAGGAAAATGCTAGGTTTACCACATTTTTCATACCACAATTGTACCACCTCTCTAATAGAGGTGGGCCCCATTGTATTGGTGGGCTCCACCTCTATTAGAGAGGTGGTACAATTGTGGTATGAAAAATGTGGTAAGCCTAGCATTACTCTTTATAAAACTGTCGTCTTTTAAAACATGACAACGGTTTATAAATGCAACGTCGTCTATTTTGTGTCGTTGTTTAACTATTTTGTAGTAGTTTTCAGTATATGGTCTTATCTTTGCTTCTGTCATTTCAACTACAAAGTGACAATCACATTAATAGGTAAAGGCTTACGATGATTTTGGCCTTAATTTCATATCAATAGTCTCAAGTTCCACACACATAATATTTGTACGTTGTTAAAGAGACATAATGACTCACATGTGGGGGTTTGTGCATTGTTAAAGAGACAGAATGGCTCACATGTGGGGGTGAAGTATGGGTAAGGGCTAGTGCTAATGCTAAGGGCCACATACTAGGTTTTGTAAAATTGTAATCAGAGGAAGAATATTTGATTACTGGATGATTTTCTCTTTACAGTGTCAAGGGTATCTATACACAGGTTTCATACAATCAAGAGACTAATAAAGGAAAGCAAATTATGTATAATCAATTACATATAATTTGGCTAATCAACAATCCCTAATATATTAGGATTTAGTTGACTTCTCAACACTCCCCCTTAAGTTGGAGAGTGAATATTGTGAACTCCCAACTTGCACACCATAGCCGAAATTTTTTTTTCCCAAGGCCTTTGTAAACACATCTGCTACTTGTTGTTGAGATGAAATATATCTTGTAATCACTGTTCCAACCAGAATTTTATCCCATATAAAATGACAGTCCATTTCAATGTGCCTAGTTTTGTCATGGAACACTGGATTGGCGGATATGTGTAGCGCAGCTTGGTTGTCACAGTGTAAAGTAGCAGGTCCTAGGTTTGGGAGTTGCAGGTCTTGCAATAGATAACGCAACCAAGTAATTTCACAACAAGCACTTATCATTGCACAATATTCAGCCTCTACTGAAGAAAGAGATACAGTTTTTTGTCACTTGTTTTCCATGAGATCAAAGAATTTACAAGAAACACGCAATAGCCACTTGTTGACCTTCGTGTTGTTGGACATCCCGCCCAATCTGAATCACAATATTTCGTTAACTTCATCTCATTTCCAGCAGGAAAGAAAAGTCTTTGTCCTGGGGTACTTTTCAGATACCTCAAAACTCTCATTGCGGCATCTAAGTGTGGCTTGTGAGGCTCATGCATGAATCTACTGAGTATATGTACTGAATACATAATATCAGGTCTTGTTATGGTGAGATAAAATAGACATCCCACCAACCTTCTATACTTTGCTGGATCATGAAGTATCTCACCTGTATCATAAGAAATTTTGGAATTTTGTTCCATGGGAAAGCTTACTGGACTTGCCCCCAAAGCTCCTCCATCTTTAATAATGTCAAGTGCATATTTCCTTTGACAAATAGAAATACCTTTCTTGGAACATGAGAACTCATTGCTTAAACAATATTTAAGATCACCAAGGTCTTTGATTTTAAAACGAGTATTAAAAAATTGCTTGAGAGCATTAATAGTAGGCAAATTGTTTCATGTAATCACGATGTCATCGATGTAGATCAAAAGAACGATGAATGACTTGTCATTTTTGCAGGTAAAAAGCAAATAATCTACTTTGGACTAAGTGAAACCAACAGTTTGTATGGCTTCAGGGAACTTAGAAAACCATTGGTGAGATGCTTGCTTTAATCCATACAAGGATTTGTGAAGGCGACATACCAAATGCTCCCCATATCGCTGAAGACCAGGAGGAAGTGCCATATAGATTTCCTCATGTATATCACCATGAAGGTATGCATTGTGAACATCAAGTTGATGCAAAGACTAGTTATGGGCAGCGGCAAGAGCAAGAACACACCAAACATAAACCATCTTGGCAATAGGAGAAAATGTGTCGTGGTAGTCAAGACCTTCAATTTGAGTGTATCCTTTGGCCACGAGACGAGCCTTATAGCGCTCAATGGTGCCATCAAAGCGATGCTTTATTTTATAGACCCATTTGCATCCGATGGGTTGCTTCCCGGGAGGAAGAGAAGTAAGGGGCCAAGTCTGATTGGATTCCAAAGTTGCAAGTTCAAATTGCATGGCCTCTTGCCAGTGTGGATTAGAAACAGCCTCTACAAAAGTGTTAGGTTCCACTAGCCGACTAATATTGGCAATGAAAGTAAAATGTGAAGGTGAGTAACGGTGATAAGAAAGAAAGTTAGAAAGGGGATAACGAGTACCTGTGGTGCGACATGGCAAGGAGTTCAACGATTGGTCAAGCGTGGATAAAGTGACTTGTGAGAAGACATAATCTTGGAGACGAGTTGGTTTAACCTTTTGGCGAAGAGAGTGGCGAATGGGGGCTGGTAGTACAGAAGGAGAAGAAAGTTGTGATGGAGGTGATGCGGCAACGGTGTCGGAGGGGAAAACGAGGGTAGCAATGTCAAAAGAAGCCGTGAGATTAAGTGGGGCAAAAGGAGATGGAGGACGTGGTGAGGGTAGGTCTGGAGAGATAAGTGGAGTAGATGACAAATCAGATAAAGGAAGAGGTAAAACAGGATGTGGAGGTTCTGTGTGAGAGGAAGAAGGCAGACTTTGGAAAGGAAAGTGACTCTCATGAAAAATGACATCACCACTAGTAAAAAAAAATTCATTTTTAAGATCAAATAATTTGAAGGCCTTTTTACCAAAAGGGTAACCGAGAAAGACACAATGCTTGGCTTTAGGATAAAATTTATGGGAAGGTTGGACAATTGTGGCATAGGCTAAACAACCAAAAATGTGGAGGTGAGTATAAAAAGGAGGTTTATGGTACAACTTCTCATAGGGGGATTGCTTGGACAAAAGGGCAATGGGTAGACGATTGATCAAGTACATGGCGGTGAGAACACACTCCCCCCAAAAAGAAATAGCGAGATTTGCCTGAAAACGTAAAGCCCTAGCCATCTCTATGATATGTCGATGCTTGCGCTCTACAATACCAATTTGTTGTGATGTGTAGACGCAAGTATGTTGATAGATGACCCCCATGTTCGTGAAAGAAACGACGCATGGAAGAAAATTCACCTCTATTATCAACACGTATTTTTTGTATTTTAGAATTGAATCGTGTTTGGACAAAGGCAAAAAGGATTTAAGCAGGTTCTGTGTTTCAGATTTATGTTGCATGAGAAATAACTATGTGAACCTAGTAAAGTCATCCACAATAGTTAGAAAATAACGGCCCCTAAAAAAGATGTAGTTTTATGAGGCCCCTAAATGTCGCAGTGAATAAGAGAGAATGGTTTGGAAGAGGAAATGGAACTTAAATTAAAAGGTAATCGAGTTTGCTTTGCCAAGGGACAAACCTCGCAAGCATTATTTGAAAAAAGGAAATTCAAAACATTCTTAGCTAAAAATTGTAAACGAGAAGATGATGGATGGCCTAAACGGTTGTGCCAGAGGTGAGAGGCATGAGCATGGTTGCAAGATGGTTGGAGGAGGGAAGGCTTGTCTGACGCCAAAGAAACCAGATAGTAAAGGCCTCCTTGCTGTTTACCCAGACCAATCGTCTTCCTCGTAGCCAAGTCCTGCAAAATGCACCAATTAGGAAAAAAATAGATGGAACAATGAAGGTCTTGTGTAAGTTTGTTTACTGACATCAAATTAACTTTGAAGCTAGGCACCTACAAGAAATTTTTTTTAAGAAAGAGATGAGTTGAGAGAGGTATTCCCAACGGAAATAATAGAAGCCTTTTCACCACTAGGCAATACAACTGGTGGAATGGAAGGGTTGGCATTTGTGGATGTAAAAGAATATGAGGTGAATGTAATATGATCTATTGCGCCACTATTAATCAGCCATCGGTGTAAAGGTAAAGGGGAACATGACAAACCTTCGGAGTTTTCTTGTGGCTCTTTCTTATCATTCATCATTGGTAAGAATTTGCTGATACTCACTGTCAGAGAGGTTTGGCATGGCAGACTTCATCTCTTGCATAGTGGGATTGTTCTACACGTGATTGGCAAAGGAACTTGAGCCTTTGTTGTTTCTGTTGGATTTGTGCAGTCAATGCCGGGGAGGATAATCAATTACATATAATTTGGCTAATCACTCAATCCCTAATATATTGGGATTTAGTTGACTTCTCAACAGGTTTGCGATGTCAAAAATCAACGTCAACACTCAACTACGACCACAATTTGAGTTGGGTGCTTGTATCATGCCTTTTGTTTTTATATATATATATATTTTGATTCAATTATCTTCTGATATAAAACTCTATACAAAAACGATCAACTCAACCCGAAACGATGACGTAGTTTTGAGTACAAGCGCGATACAACCACCAAAGACACAAGTACAATACTCATTTTTGACAGAAAATTTTTAGCTTTCTGTGGCTTTCTAAGTACAATCCAACAAAAGCCAAATTAAATTGGAAATTATAACTCAATCTCAACGTCTGATTCCTCAAGACTCTGCAAATTAAGCAATTTTTGAAACTTGTTTAAAGTTGATTTCAACATTCATCAATTTGAGCAATGAACAAAACCAAGACTCAGTTGGGGGACAAAACCAAGTTTACAAACTATTCCTAACCATCCCCCAAAATGCATCATGTTGAAGTATACACTTTCCCTGAGGTTGGCTTTGTAGTCTCCCATGAACAATTTCCAATAACCTTTATTTTTTTCTCTTTCTCAAATCTGCTTCTCCAATAATGAACTAGCTAAACTGCCTTGAACAACTTTAGGGCCCAGGCTTCATGAGATTAATTTTGAAGTAAGTCTATTAACAAATAATGGGCAGCTTTGGGAGAGACAGAGAAAAACATTTAATGGAATGACTCAATCTGTGTCTCCCATATGCTTGCTTACATGATATTGATCAAATTGCAAATCACCATCAAAAGTCGGTCAACCTGCGAGAAGCTGCAAGATCCTCTTTCGTGCTGCTCATGGCACTCGAGTGACGAGACGCCCCGAGACCAAGATCCTCTCTCATGTTCATACTAGAGCGCTGAACTAACCGCACTAACTGTTGCACCACCTCTGACATAGGTGGCCGGAATTCAGGCTCCCGCTGTAGATACAAATTAAGGAATGAAAATGTTAGTCAAGGACAATCTTTTGTCATTTCCCAGTACTCAATATAAAAGCGTAAATGCATAGGTGAACCAATACTTGCAGAAACAGCCCCCTTTTTTTTTCTTTTTTTTTGAAAAAAATTCTTATGGAATTGTTGATAATACCGTTCGAATGATGCTATTTGTACCATATTTATTGAGTAACTTGCTGACAGCCTCTCTTTTGCAGAGAGACTGTTAATAAATGTGGCACAAATAGCAGCACTCTTACAGTTCTAGATGCCCAAAGCCAAGCCTAACCACAGCCCCTATAAATGCTACAGTTTCCTATATAGGTAGATATGTGTGTGTATTTTTGGGTGTGTAGAAATCACCTGAACACAGAGGGCAATGATGTCAGCAAACCGCGAGACTGACTTGGGAGGGTAGAGTCCACGGAGAGCAGGATCCACCATTTTTGACAAGGCGTCAAGATCATGGAGCTGTGGGGTTGCCCACCGGACAAGGCACTGCTCCACAGGTGGTTTTGAACTAACGAAAGGAAACAAAAATGGTTAAGACTGGCAAGACATTGACAAGGTTTGTGAATAAAAGGCAGAGCGAGGCGCCAATGTAACACACCTGTCAACCGGCATACGACCCGTCAATAACTCCAACATGACTACCCCAAAACTGTAAACATCACTCTTTGCTGTATAGGCTGATGGCTTTGTGCATTCTGGAGCATTGTATCCCATCCCAAGGTTTTGACTAGTACGCTGAAAAGAATACATTGCACCATTCAGATTGTTATCTTGAAAAGAACATATAAGAAATTGATCCTATAAACACAATGATTCACTGAGTTTCAAGAGAATGCAATTAACCTGATGGAAGGTTGCCAAGCCATAATCGCAGAGACGAGGATTGAGTTCGATGTCAAGCAAAATATTAGATGATTTGATGTTCTTGTGAACTGTGGATGGAGAGCAGCCTTCATGGAGGTACCTGAAAACAGTTCACAAAGAGTTGATTTCAATGACCCCAAGAAATCCTGGTAAATCAAAATTGTTGATTTGCTCGATTCAGATCTCTAAACATATTGGCTAATGAGGTTGATAGAAAAATGTACGAGCAATTTCAGGAGTAGGATTTATAGTCACTTACTCAACAGCCCGGGCAGTGCCTAAAGCAATTCTGACTCTTGTGTTCCAAGTTAGGGGATTACTGTAGTCATCTGACATGTGTAAGAATTCATGAAGCGAGCCATTCCTGAAGTACTCATAAATTAACATGTTATGCCCGTGTTCTGAACAATAACCAACAAGTTCGGCGATGTTGGCATTGCGAATCTTGGAGATATTTACAACAATGTCAGAAAATTCTTGTGGCGCTGAGCCTTGAAACAGTGAGGAGTCAATCTTTTTCACTGCCAAAACCTGACATGCATATGGCATAAGAACTGTGAGTAAAAATTGAGAGACACCTCTTAATAATAAGATAGGACTATCTCTAACTCCGGTTGATAAAGATATCCACATCGGTAATTCCAAATGAAGTTTTATGCTAGGACTTATGTTTAAACACAAATTATAACATGAACCAGTAGAAGATTTGGTGGTGAGTAGCAACTATATAGTAATCGAAAACTATACCTTCCCATCATCATATTTAGCCCTATAGACACGTCCAATGGTACCCTGCCCAAGAAGGCGAGCGGGTGCAAAGTTAGCAGTAGCAACCTGCAAATCTGCCAAAGCGTAATTCGTAGCTTTTACAGAGGTGCTTCTTCTGGCAAAGGATTGTAAACGTCCAGAAAGCGACTTAAAACCAATTGATGGAGATTTTGAAACAGGCTTTATGTCAATTGAAACGGCTCCAGGATCTGTCACCGGCATATCATCTCGTTAGTAGAAAGTTAATAAACATTTGTAAAGTGACAGATATTAAAAAGCCAGTTGATACATTATTTTGACTGCATGACCAATGGGGCAGGAACCTAGACTTGGGGGGCAAGAAATAATATCAGGTGGAAAGCTCATCACATACGCATTGAGTTACATTGCAAGCAGATTTACAGTAGTTCAGTTCTATGTTAAGAGTGTTGCAGGATTTCATTAGAACAGCTTAAAATACAAATAAATTAGCAAAGAAAATCCAAATAAAAATATAACAAACTTTATCAGAAACTCATAATCAAAGATATTTCAAAGGCAATTCTAACAAAATTTTCCATCAAAAAAATTTCTGAATGAAGAAATTACCTTTATTTCTGAATGAAGAATTCAGTTCTCTAGATAGTTCCTTAGATGAATAAGAGGCACCAAAGGATTTACGCTGGCTAAGCCTGTCATCATCAAGGAGGTGTGAAGTAGAAGGACGTCTTCTTCTTGAAAAAAGGGCAATTATAATTGCGAGCACCAACAATATGGCCAGAGCTATCCCAGCTATGGTTAATCCGGTGGCTACAGAAGACTTCCCCCCACCACTCTGTGAGGAAGACCCTCCTCCTCTATTACGGCGTGCACCAGGGGGAGAAGGTGGAGATGGTCCAGAAGACCAAGAATTTCCTCCAGACCTTCAATTAGATAATAAAAAAAGTCAGAAGCAAATCATTAAGAGCTTCATCCTTGACATTGATCTTTGAAAAGGATACTTACTTTATGTTTATACCCTTCAACTCGTTAGGGATCCAGCCAGAAAAGCGGTTGTTTTCAATATTCCTGCCAGCATGATAATGAATTCGTTGAGTGAAAACAACTACTAACTCTAACAGGTACATATAGAACTATCATTTATAGATCTAGCTCAAGTATGCTTACAGGTCCTCAACGGGAGTGTACACAAGTAGAGTGATTTGACCAGTAAATTGATTGTTCTGCAGATTCCTGCATGGAGACATAGAGGACTTAGCGGCCAGGAACCTTGGACACGCATGCAGGTTTAAATTGTATTGATTCTTACAATTTTTTCAGGCTTGAGAGCTTTCCAAAACTCTGAGGCAAGTTGCCAGTCATTGAGTTGTACGATAAATCACTGCACGCCATTTCATGATATATGAGTGAGTCAATAATCCTTCAATTACAGCAGATATCTATGTCATATCTAAATACAAGAATAGCTATCTAATTCAAAAATGGCATTACCACTAGTCACATTCTTTCATGGCAATCATGGTATGAATAGAATTTCCAAAGCTCAAGAGGACAATGAGGGGTAATGGACAGTAGAAGCCAATTACAAAAGCTCAAGAGGAGTTTAAGTTTGTATTATAGTAAGAGACATAACAAACACGCATGAAACCTTGGTGCTAGCTAGACTCAAATACCCTAGCTTCTTGAAAAGAAAATGTACAATCGTGAAAAACACCAACAACAAAAAAACGAAGAGTACAACCTTTACTGCAAAGTTAGAAGAACTTACAGCTCTTTGAGTTTAGTAAGTTTCCCAAACATATCAGTCAACTGTCCATTGAGCTTGTTACGACCAAGATTTCTGCATTTACCCACAAATTTGTGAGAAATGGGAGTGGCTCCCTACAAGATTATGCTAACACAAGAACAAGTTCTACTTACAGAGTTTCAAGGTCAGACATCTGAGATATTGAATATGGCACAGTATTTGTGAAGCCATTTTGAGAAAGATCTCTGCAGATCAATGGAATTAGATTAGTATTGACAATGATGGAAATAAACTGAGGTTTGATTGTTGGATAAAGTCATTGTAACAAATAAGTATTGCAAGACGAAATAATAAACTGTCAATCTGCAGGAAATAAACAAGAGTTTATGGCCTCACACGTATTAAATTCATCCATGCAAGCGCGTGCACACACACACACAAACCACACACACCCGGTTGATAACATGCAATGTTATATAATAAGAAGTGTTTGTCTGCGGACTTACATGTACTTTGCATTAGGAGGCAGTTGGTACGGTATATCGCCATTGAGGTTGTTCTTGCTTAAATCACTGTACTATGACGAACAAATGCATATCCTTCAGATTTTGAGCTTTGAAAACAAAAATATGTATAAAAAGAAAAGCCTATTCTAATGAACTGGTCCTTACAAGCGAGTGACAGATGTTAAGCTTGCAAGCTGGTAGCCCATTGATCCACTGAGCCCAAGGTCAGACAGATCTCTGCATAAAATTTAGAAAATAGGTTGAACTTGTACATTTTAGGCATATATCTTGTAAATAATCGAACTGTTCGCTCTCTTCACCATAGATTTGGATAATGCAAGTATATATGCATGTAAGAAATGAGAAATACATTTCAGTTACAGATGAGCCTGAGCATTTTATCCCTTTCCAGGAATCGCCGCAAGGGTCACCTCCACTTGATTTCCAACCACTTAGTTTCGAACGAGAGTTTATGCTGTTATACATCACATTAAGGGAAGAGACTGCAAAGCACAGTAAAACATCAGAATATTTAAGTACTTATCTTTTTCATGGAGGAAAATGGAAATATGATGTAGATGGTACAGTGGTACAGAAAAATAAGTAAACATTCAAATAAAACTCATGTCATGAAGGTGCTCAAAAACTGGCGCAACAGACAAGAAATGAAACTTGTAATACAGTGGTATAGACAAAGAAAAAACAAATATTCAAATGAAACTTCTGCAATTAAACTGAGTATTTGAATAGAATGTTCCAATTAGTTGATTTCTGTTTATCTTCATAAGACCATTTAAGGACATGTAAAGGTGACAGGCCCTGAGAATTACAAATTAGAAATGTTTCAAGGAAGCTCAAAATCAGGACAATAGATGCCTAGCTAGAAGCCATTATGAAAATTGTTAACAAACTGACTTGGCATTTCTGAAATTTTGCCAAGAGTTGAGGGCTTTCCTTTTTTCTTTTTCTTTTTTCTTTTTTCTTTTCAATTGATCATATGAGAAACATCTCTCACATGTGAAAATTTCGCCTGATAATTTTGTCATTCCAGTCATCTACTAAAAAAAGGCAGAATTAACATATGGTTCAAATACATTTTTTTATTTAACAAGAAATTCTCATTGGATTGTAAAATGTGTAATCTCACTTCCTCATAGATATACCTTACCTCCTAGTAATCTTAATTATATAAATATTCTCTCTCAGGATGAAATTGAACCCTCATAAAAAGATTGAAGCTATACATTTAAAATCTAAACCCAAGAAACTACACATATATTAGACTAGAAAATCAGATACGCTTACCATCTTGGGAATTAGTCTTGGAATAAACCCCAGTTGTGAAGAACCCAAATAAAACAACCCACAACACCAGAATGTTGTGGAAGTGGATCATCCTTTCAAAGCACAAAAAGATAAGCAAAACCCAGAAAGCAAAAAATTTTTTTTTTTTTTTTTTTTTTTTTTTAATCAAAAGAAAAGGGTGGTGGGTTATGGGTTTTGAATCAGAAAAAGAAGAGGTGGATTTTTGGGTGAAGATGTTGATTGATTGATTAAGGTAAAAAAAAGAGCAGGCATCCTAAACTTTATATTTTCTTGTTTTGTGTTTTCTTGTATGTTTTTTGTTGGTGAATGTTGTTGTTAGTGGGGTGTTTCTTGGGTTGGTTTTCTGAGAGAGATGATGTGAGTTGGCTAAAATTAGAGAGGAAGAGGAAAGAAGATGCATTAGCATTAACAATGTACAGTTAAAAATCGTTGAGAAAGACAGCATTTGCAACAGTCTCAGCGAAACGTGAGGACCAAATGAGAGCCTCCCGAGAGACCCAACGTTTTTCCGCCTCTTTCAACTGTATTTCAAATGCCCAGCTGGATATTTACCCATCATACCCTTTTGCTGCCTGTTTCATTTTTGTATACAACGGTTATACACCCCTCTCCAAAAAGAATAAATATATATTAACCTTTTTTATGTACAATCTCTGTATACAACTATCCTTTCACAACCAACCTTATCTTATTAGCTGTTGTCAGGAGGCGGTTATACACAAGAATTTCTTCTCATAGCAAGTGGTCATGTGACTAAAATGTGAGCACTTCTGCGTAAAAACGACCTTATATCTAACCAATGCGAAAAATGTAAACCGTATATATAGCCACATAGAATTTGGTCAAATGAAGACAATTGCAATAGCTTCCACAATAAGTTAACATTATCAGTTTTACTAAAGTGGTACCTAATTTCTTAGTCTCGTGTATTTTTTTTTCTTTTCCAATGTTAGAATATCCCAAGTTTCGAATCCCCTTTTACGTCGATTTTATAAATTAATAAAAATATAAAAATATAAAAAAGAAGGAAGCTATGCAGGTCACGATCCCTCTCCATTGAAGAAATTATTATGTCCAAAGATATGATTTGTTCAGCATAAAAGCAGAAATATGCAGATGTGAAATTTTGTATGTGGGAGAGAACCAAATTTTCTAATCCTTTTCCAAAATAAATTACGCGCGCATTCTTTTCATTTCCATGAGAGGTGGGAGTGAGTTTTGACGGCAACAAGAAAGTTTTGTTGCACACAGAAATAATGATGTCAATGCTCTCAGAACACAATATTAAATAAGATCAAATAGAGTGAGGACTAGATTTGGGCTGAACTCTAAACTTACCGATAAACATAGACTTTTTGACTTCGAACGTTCTAAGTAGCTTTTGAGGTACAAAGAAAGAAGAGGAAAAGCTATGAAACCAAGGAGACGAAACCATTCCAAACATAATGAGTACCATATGCAGATTTGGCCATAAAATGATAAAATGAAACGACCTTCCTTCGATGAAATTGCAAGCAGATGGGGCATCTGTTAGTGTTATGCTGCCAGCAAACAATAGCCCTTTCTATTATCTAAGGTCGAGTTCCTTCGTGTAGAGAGGGCATCGATTACAAAGTCTATGCACTTTGAGCCAATTGCCTGACTGGTGAGGTGCCGGGTCTAATTTCCAGTGGATGTGTAATTCACCAAGAAGAAATAGTCTAGAACAATTTTACATTATTAGGATATCAACGCATATCCACAAGGTAATAATTAATACACAAAATGAAGGATGTAAGTATGGTACTCACATACATATAAACATCATGGTCCAAACGCCTTACCCATGCCAGTAGTTCTGAGAACTTCTAAAGCAGCTTTGAGTACATTGCAGGAAGTCTCTATTATCATACAGGAGTAATGAATCTTCTGCCCAACTGCAGCCACACACCATTACACTCTGTAACCCACGAGTTCATATAATGACTAGTTTCCAGGACTAAAACTTAAAAAGTGCACCAGAATCAATAAGCCTTTCCTATTTATCAGTGTGAAATCCAATTGCTAGGCTTCAGAATGTAAATCTGGTAAAAGGGTAGCAGATATGTACGGAATTTGGAAGGCTGATGTACAGAAAATCATGAAGGAGGAACTACCCCCTACCCTTTCCTCCATTTCTCATTTTTGCAAACGTAGTGTAGTAGTCGGTCTTCTTGGTAGATGGGCCCTGTCTATAATTTATACAACAAAACTTTACTTGGCCCTCCAAAATTAGTTGTGATGCCAACAAGGTCATGCACCTGAACTTGGGCTGCTTTCACTTGATGACGCACCACGCTTACTCAGTTTGGTTAAGATGTACACCATGGCAACTTTAGCACCTAGGCTAGAGTGACCACGAGACAAGCAGACCACACCCCCAAGAATCAGCAAGCCATTGGCAAGCAGTTTCTTTGATGGTGTTCTTGACAATTTCCTCCCCCCACCAGTGATTGGTCTGTGAACAGAAGTTGCTGCAGAGTTTTCTTGAGAAGTCATGCTATCTGTGGCTTCCAATCCAGGGGGAACCTGTGTGGAGGAGAATAACAATCAACAACAAAAACCGCATGCAGATGAAGTATGTAGAAGATTAGATATGTTATAATCTCTGGAACTAAAAAACCCAGGCATGAATTGTCCTAAACTATAGATATGAACCAGACAGTTCCTTTGAATCCTTCTAGTTGTTTCTATGACCAGGAAGCATGCTAATGATCCCTGTAAGATGACGGTAAGTATCATTTCACCAAAATAAAACACCAGACACACGCATGAGGGTAGTAATTGAGTTAACACAACCATTCAAATGATGCTTTCATCTCGGCTGCACAATGCTACAAACTTGTACTAATATGGGCTCTGGATGTAATAGAACCTTGTCTAGGTCAACCAAACCCAAGTTTAGTCAACACTCAAAATGCACACGGTTGTTTAGAACCATTAATTTAAAAGGCATGAAACCCTTACTAAACAGCACAATAAAGCCAAGATTTAGGAAACATGACGCCTACACACAGCTGTTCCCAGACAACTAACCATCAAGTGAAACTTGTTTATTACATACACCAAGACAATTCATCAACCACAACTAACTCTCAACCGGAAATTAATACATGACAAACGAGCCAAGTACATAAATGATATCAATTGCTATCAAGAAATGTATCATGACAAGCAACGTATATAAACATTTAAACAATATTACTATATTGAAGAGAATTGTCCTGACCTTTTTAATCAAAGTGAGAGCAGTAGCACCAGAACTTAACTGATGATTGCTGATTGTAGAATATCTGCGAAGTGCAGTACACATCTTACATACATAACTCCATATGCCCCTGGAAAAAGCTAATTTTGCCATCTCCACATTTAAACCAGCATCTTCTTGGTGAAACATTTTGATTTCACAGGCATTTCTACCAGGCACTGTAGGAGATGATTAAAAATCACAAAATTATAAACAGTTTCTTTTTCTCATTTTAAGACATCAAGTACCACTTTTACAGATTTAATGCAGTCTGCCAGAATGTCAGCCAAACAAGCCTTTTTCACTTTAAGTGTAAGTGGTTCCTTTCTTTTTGGTCTGAAAAGTGCAAGTCACGCTAAAGCAGAAGAAAATTATTCCTTTATCCACCACCAGTACATGAAGCAAAACTAATATGATCCTTATTGGAATATTTCCTGCATCATGCTGAATAGGATAAAGCTTAATGAAGCATATGTTTTATTTGGAATAGGCCTTATAGTTCACAGTATTACAGTACGAGTAGTAAAAGCAGCCCAAACTGGACAAACTGACAAATTGTAAGTAATTGTAAAGACAGAAAATTATTTTCATAGAGAGAAAGGAAACAAATGAAGAGGGATTCGTTGGGAGCTTGCCTTTTCTGATTTGCCAACCAGATCTGAAAATACTAACACGCACATACTTCTTCTGGGGTGGTGCCAAAGGATGTTCACATTCCTGCTATCACCAAAAATTGGAATACATATTAGGTAACTCACAAAGAGAGGCACAAGTTCTAAAAGGATCAAATGCATCAAAGGCAAAAACTTAATCCCTAAACAAACCAAAGGGCATTATGTTAGTGCAGGGAATTACAAGCAAATAAAGGGTATTATGTTAGTGCTGGGAATTACAAGCAAATAAAGGGTATTTTCTGATGTTATGTACTATAAACTTTTCTTTCAAGAATATTCCTAAAGCAATCCCTGTTTAATAGATTATAATAGATTATTCCTGTCACAAGGTAAAGAACAGTAAAGGATTAGAGAGAGAGAGAGAGAGAGAGAGAGAGAGAGAGATGCATAACTGCATACATAGATTCACTAGACAACATTTGGAGCACCAGCACATGGAAAATAAAAACTATGCACGGCTCAAAATTGCCTAGAAGTAATTTACATGTGAACGATTTTGTTGGAATCAGTTACCTTGATAAAACAGTAGAATGTATTATCTTTCCCCTCCCACAACCTCCAAGCTAATACATATTCTCTGGCTGTCAACAGTGGAAACTTTTTTATTGACCGACCAACTTCAACCCCCTTGTTTTTGTCCACCTGTAACTGCTCATGCTCAATCAGCATCTTGTCCCATTGCTTTCTGTAATCATTGTCCATGTAGAAATCTCTCAGCTTCTCAGGAGAGCAATTCTCAAATATTGTTGAGCTCAAGTATTTCACAGGGCCATCCTGAAAGCAAGAACAAATATGCATTAACTCAATTCCATAGCCTTTATTCTCTGGAACCAGTAGAGTAACACAGGGAAACAAGTAGTTGTGCTAGCAACAAATACTAGACCAAGAGTAGATGCCTCGAGCAAATTTGGGGTAATGAACTCGTGAAACAACAAGACACAAGAATCAGATTTAACTCGTCAGAAAAACAACACCCGTATGAACGACCTTAGGCTTGCAGCATTTAGCATAGTAGGATAGAAGATCATTTCTTTTCTCTATGACATTGTCCCATTTCTCATTTTCACGGGTCTTTTCCTCCAAATTTTCAATTAGAAACTTCAAATCTGCATCTGTGACCATTTCCGAGATGCTGCAGAAGTAACAGAACAAATACTTGAGTAATACAATCACAAGTTGATCCCACAAAATTTGGTTTCTAGAAACTCAATATCAATCACCCCAAACTTATACTTTTTTTTTATACCAAAACTGGAGAAAGAGCATGAAAAACGCAACGAAATTTGAGATAACAACTGATCAAAACTCAATTATCAGATATCTTAAAATCAATTGAACCCGATTGCCAAATTGTAGAAAAATTAATACAAACCCAATTGAGTAGAGATAAAACCCAAAAGGAAATGTAAGACAACAAAACTGAAAATAAAACCCAATTAGCAAAATCTCATATTTAAACCATAAAGCACAAAATTAGAGAAAACCAAAACGAACCCAATTGAGCATAAACAAGCCCCAGGAGGAAAATTAAGAAACTTGACCTGAACCCAGAACTGGTTGGTTCAGAATTTGAGACACCAACTGGAGAAGACTTGGAGGAAGAGGATTTCCTAAAGACGAACCTCTTGGCACAGTGCCAAGCCAAGACGAAAAGAAGAGCGACAAGAGTCGCCAAACCGCCATAAACATTTTCCCGCCAAAATTCCTCCGATGATCCTTGGAACATGCCGTGAACTCTCCTCAAATCCACGATTTTCACCATCTCTGTTGATTCTTCGTTATTCTCTGGTTCGCTAATCGTAGTTATAGAGGCTCATGAGCAGCTCTGAAGTTGTGCCCCTCTGTTTTCTGCGTTATATACCATGCAGCTTCGGTTTGTGCTTTGCGAAGAACTCAAAGGCATCGAAGTCGCCGATGGGACTGTTGGCGGGATATAATCCGCTGTGCTCAGCTACAACGTATCTTACTGTGAGGAGGAGTACTATCATCTTCATATCTGGCTAATAGGGGTAATGTAGTCTTTTCAGATTCATATTGTCTGAAACGTGGCATTCTTTTATAAGTCATGCAGTGCAAGTGATAAACTGAAAAGCCCCATCTAATTTTTCTTTTTCTTTTTTTCTAAAAGAAATTTGTAGCTCAATTGATTAATTACATCTCCCCTCATATTTCGAGTTCATGCATATTCAGTCGTCCCGGAACATCGCTTGTATGAAAACAAAATGTGCGGTGGTTGTTTTGGTAAACTGCTATCTTAATGTCATTCAACCAACGTGTAGGGGCTTTTTTATTTTTATTTTTCTTGAATAAATTATATTTAAGATAGCCCTTTCCTTAACAACTTGGAATTTGAAGTCTTAATACACAGCCTCACCATTCATCTTGTACACATGTTTTCTAAAGTATTTTGACTAATTCTCAAGAGATGGGTCGTGATCCTGAAGCACAAAAGCCCACAAACTTGATGTGACAAGCAACATTGTCACCTATATTTAGAAGCCACAAATGGGATTGCATTTTCAGAGTGTCTTGGTGGATAAGATAGGAGGATAAGCATGAATTAAATTCTCAACGATTCATACAAAAAAGGAAAACGACGGCAGCAGCTATACACTTGCACTTCCACCTCTATACAGTTTACAGTTCATACATTTACACACAAACCAGAAAAAGAAGAGACAAGTTCGAAAGAGAAACTCCTCTTCAAGAAAAAGCATGATCGTGGGATCATGAACTGGGTTATGTTCCAATCACATGCATCATGTTATGTATTTTGGGAAGAGAGATTATGCTGAAAGGCTTACTTCAAGGAACCAAAAAAACTGGGTCATGGCTTGTTAGTCAATTCTTGTTCTGTCTAGTTCTTTTAAAAGAAAAGTACCATTTGGAACCAATGAAGCAATATTCTACAAATGCATGAATTAAAGTGCAATGGAAGATGAAAAGGCATGGTTCCAAAATAGGGGCAGCATTGCTTGCTACTGATGAAATAAATCAATGAATCAAATGGTGAACAAGCATAATATATGAGGTTTTTCCATCAAGGTCTTTTTGCTGCATACTTCTTATTAAACTGCCTGCAAAGATGGGGAACCTTAAAAAAGCCAAAAAACATTATCCAATTTTTTCAAGAAAACTACTCACTCAATGCAAGTCTTATGATACTAATGACTACCATTGAAAAGTAGCACGCACGACGCATATGATACATGAAGCCCGCCATCAGCTTCGTAGAACCGGTAAAACCCCTTTTCATTCAGATACTGATGCACTCCTTATGAATACAGAGACATCAGCAACCTAATCACAAGTTAATCAAAAACTGAAAGTAGTATTTAAGTCTGTCACATACAATCCGAGCATTCATCTCTTCCTAACTGGTCTGAGCAGAAGACACAGGTACTGGGATCGCATCTTCAAGTTTTACCCTGGTGCCAATGGAGCCGTCAGAAGCAGGACTAGCTCTTTCAGAAAGATTAGCTTCTTTACTACCCTCATCCAAGCGGACAACTTGAGCAAAACTCTTTGACATGTGCTTAATGAAATCACTGGGTATTTGAACAGTATTTCTGGGCTCCTTTTCTCCAACTACACCTACAGCAATCAGGCTGGCTTGCTGTCTTGCCTTCCGCTCTTGCATTGCTTTCTGCCGGTCTTCATAAAAATCAAAATCATCTAGAATCGACATATCTGTTTCATAGTTCTTGAAGATGTTCAACATCTCAATCCCATGCTCCAATTTTACCTGCACATATGGGAGAAAAAGGGCATTGTAAACAAAAGTACAACACTTGCCGAAATACTGTGTGCTTAGAGATTCTTAATCTACAACTCCAAATTTTTTTCATCAAATTTATAATGTAATCTCCTTAACATAGGACAAGAAAAGCTGCAAATGATTCAAAATAAGAGGCTCCTGGTTTATAAGACCTAAGAATCAGTATTTGAGCATAATTAGATAAGAAAAAAGAAGGGAGAAAACAACATGAAAATTCAGACTCTAGAACCTTAGAATTTACACAAAAAGCATATGTGGCACATCTCAGACAGAACTTTCGGACGGATTTGAGAGAATGAGAACAAACCAAGGCCTTTCCCAGTAAAGATAAACATCTACCTAATCCACCACACTTAATAGTCCATACATATTGGCAGCAACTGCAATTGGTTCGATAGTCAAAAGCTCAGTCAAGCTACTATAAGTATTCAGGTAAACAAACTAAATATTTAGTTTCCGTCTGGTTATGGCTATTGTTAAAAATAAGAACTGTGTGCAATATTAATTCCTATATAATAAAAACAGGCTTTTCACAAATTGTCACCTCTTGAGTGTCTCGACTGTTAGTTACAGGCTTGTTGTCGTTATTTTCAAGAATGATGTGCCGAAACTGACTATTGGGAACATCTTTAATCATATGCCACTTGACAGGGAACTGGCCACTCCATTTGTCTTGCTGCCAGTAATCCAGACTCTTGTCAAAATCCACAGGTCCAACCATTTCAGCCACCCCACAGAATTGAGCACTAGCATTCACCTGAGTATTATTAAGTATAACCATATAAGGAAAAACTGGGCAGCAATGGTGGAATAGAAAGAATGGAAACAATTACAGAAAAAGAAAAAAGAAGAAATCATATGGCATACATTAATTATATTGCGAACATGTATTCACCAAAAAGACCATAAATTTACCGAAAAGAAGAGGAAAATTGGGCAGCCATCATGCTTCTCCTTAACTTCACGATAAGCCGCATCTAACTTTCTGTTCCCATTTGGTGTGCTGGCCCAGACACCATATTTGATGCTCTTGTGGACATTATCTTCACTGTAAGACTTGATAATGAAGAACTTAGCATCGTTGTACTCTGTTACAAAATCTGGCTTGTTGTATGATTCATCATGCACCTTGGTTGCAGTAGTGTTATGTTTGGTATTCTCCACAGAGCTATCAGCCATGATTTGACTCTTTGGCTTTGAGGCCCTTGGTCCCCGGTTCTGCTCACAAAGAATATCAAGGGGGGCATTGCAACTGCATATGGGACCACTGCCCCGCACATGCCGCTTGCTATTCTCTAACGATAGAAAGCCCCGACTGTTAGCTCCAAAACTAGACAAAGATGCATTTCCAAGGCTAGACGCCTGATTAAAACCACTGGGTATGTAGCCTCTGTTATAAGAGTTTGAACCAGATCCAAACCCATACAATGACCTTTGTTGTTGAGAAGCCTGAAGAAAATTCATTAATCAGCATAAATACTAAAACGCATGAGTCTAATTAGATTCATCAAGTTTCAGATGATGTCAGTGACAATCAACTATATCACAAGCATTTATAGGTAGGCATCATTGCCAAGATATGCATTCATAAAAGATAAGCCAAAGTTGCATGACACCAAAGATGGAAGACGACCATGACCTAAGGGTTACACCTGAGCTCCACTGTTGGTAGATAGATACCCATAGTTATTCAATTCAAACAATCCATGCCTAGATCTATAAACTATATTGCATTCCTCAATTCCATTTATATAAATTTGCAGGTCTTGATTTGGATGCCAATGAATCCCATGACTGACTGGGAATCATGGTTTACAGTATAAACAATAAATTTTCCTTGCAAGAATAGAACTACTAACGATGAAGATCTACTTATGGTGTCTGGCAAACTATAATATCTCAATAACCATGGATTTACACAAATACAAAATCTGGGTTCATAAATAAGAAGAAACACAAGGTAAACAACTTAATATAAGGGTCAACAATAGCAGATGTGATAATGAAGTCGAAAGTAGCTTTAGGAACTGTTAAAAGGAGGGAAGAGGAGGGAGGGACACGTAGAGAGAATAATATTTTATTCATACAAGCTTTCACACACTTCTATATGAAAAATGTGAAATATAAAGATCAGCGGTACACTGAGAGCCTGGAAAATAGGAAAAAATGCTATCATTAAGTTTTAAGAAGTTCTAATCACTTTTAAACTTGAAGTCTTGGGAGGAAGTCACAGTAAACCCCTTACCATACTTCTTTGAGAACAAAATATTCTGAGCTTTAGGCCAAGGATATATTTAAACAGCAGACCAATCATGGTAAAGCACATCTTCAGCCAAATCAATCAATTCCACTCCGCTCTAATTGGCTTGATCAGATCATATGCCTAGGTTGCGTGCAAAACTAATACAAGTATTGGCTATGACACCTAGAGGAGCATGACAGCCATTAAAAAAATTAGTTTTGTGCGCCCTGGGTTTCCTAGTTCTAAAGCACTTGCTCCAACATTCTGGTTTGCTTTTGTGAACAAGCACAAGGATTCAGTCAAATTTCATCACATGACATGCATGTGATTAATGACAGATTGCAAATAATATTTTGGGTAAAAGCACCTAGGATAATATACAAGTTCTACCTAATATACCAAATCTAACTTCCTCCAAATAATATCCCAAACAATTGTTGCAAGAAGAATGAAGAAAAGACCAACGAGATTTCAAAAGAACGTCATCAGAAGATATACACAGGTACAAGAACAAACCATTCCAACGTTCTGCCCAAATGACCCAAGTGGGCCAAGTGGCTGTGGAGATACTGATGGCGATAAGGGAGTCAAAGATCTGTGCCTGTCTGAGGGTTTTGACCAATCTGACCAAAGTCCTCCAGATCTTAATCCATCAAATCCCTGCTGCAAATCATGAAAACCATGACTACCCGGATTTCCTGGAAAATTGCCTCTACCGAAAGATCCCACTGGCGGATGATAA